AGTGATGTATTAATTCTGCTGTGTAGATGCAGTTTGGGCAAGAGAGAGAACCAAACACTTTCACTAAATACTAATTATCTGCTGCAAGGAAGATATTAGGAAAAATAGAAAGAATGGTATAGTTCTTGACTGATTATTTATTCTGGTAAATGTGGTGAACAAGGATACACCAATGGACTTTTAACACTCAAACTTCTTAATTTCAGATTTCCATATTATTGCAGTTCAGGATAATAGCTGCTGCTAATTTGCCAAGCATTTTCCAGCCAACATGGTTTTGTGTGCCAAAACTAGTTTTCATTATTCATGAATTTCTTCACTGATTTGGATGCAGCACTTGAGAGACCAGCTATTTATGGACCAAAATTGTACATCTACCCACCTGGTCCTCAAAATACTTTTCATGAGATCCAATGAATAAGATGCCTGGGAACAAAATCAAGGATTACGAGATGGATCCTTCAACTGCCTGTGGCAACAAAGCTTTAATGGAAATGATAAATTCTATAATAATGGCCCTCTGTAGTAAACATCCATGTGCCACTGGCTCAAAGTTTATGAATAATGACTTCATTTTGAAATAATTAGAATCTAGTACCATTAACAGCAGGATATGTGGATAATTATATTTTTTGAATGAAATGTCTGGCAAAATGCCACTCTGTTCATGTGACAATTAGGTTTGATGATAAATGTTGTAAGTGACAATATCTAATATAAATAAAGAAGAGAAAAATTAACAATATCAATCATGACTGACACTATGAAAATAAAGCAATATTGATAGACATAGGCAAATATCAGATTGTGAAATATTTTTCTTCATACATGGTGTCTTCTCTATCTAGAAGTCTATAACTTTAAGCTAAACTACAGAGAGCTTCACTCTTACATAGCAACACTAAGCACTGGGGATGTTTCATTGTCTTATGCTGGTGATTCTGGCATGTGCCTAGGACATTTACTAAGTATCTGAATGATGTTGGTTTAACATTAAAAAATCTTCTCTTTCCATGATTTGATTGTAGATAGATGGGATGGTATTGCCAAAATCTATATTGTGTGGCTAAGAGGAATGGAAACCTTTATGAGTTTTATATTCACAGGCAACAATGAATAGTTTATCATTTTTCTCCTCCTTACAAGAAAGTCATTGAAAAGGCACAATGTTCAAACACTATTCTGAGTATTGAACTTATTCTATGCAAAAAATAAAATAAAATAATTGCACTTTTTTGCACAGAATTTTTTCCCCCCACACAGAATACAACATTATTTGTGGAATGCAATAGGAGTTCCATGAAAATAGTATTTTCTGCATACAAAACAACTTTTCTGTGCAGGAAGCCAGTTTCCTACATTTCCTGTGAAGAAAATGCTGTTTTGTCTGCATGAAACCTGTTTTCTGCCCAAGAAATGGCATTTTCTATACAACCCCTCCCCCAACACTTTTCACATGGGATAATACAAAACTGTGAAGATTCTTGCACATATAGGAATCCTTTCTCATGATTACCCAACATTCATGAAACATACTTTTTGAACATTTTCCTGATATTTTTGACTATTTTCCTATCCCTAATTGAAAATATTGCCAATATTTGGGAGTGAGATCTTGAAGAAGCTAGCATCTACCATGTGCTCCCTTCTGAGTACTCAGTGCTATATCATGGGTCATTAAAGCATGCACAGAGGGTGTTTGGTCTACAGACATTCCATCTTTGTCAGTTAGGCTTGACTCACTAAGCTTTATTTGTTGTTGTTGTTGTTAACTGCCCTCCAGTTGATCCCAAATCATGGTGACCCCGTGGATGAGAATTCTACAAGACTGTCTATTTTCCACTGCTCTGCTTAGGTCCTGTAAATTTATGCCTGTCACCTCCTTAATAGAGTCCATCCATCTACTACGTTTTATACTCTTGTATAAAACACTGTCACTATGCAAATTCAAAAGGGTAATCTCACAATAGTCTAAGCAATATTCAATCTTGAATATAGTTTTGCAAGCCTTAAAATAAAACATGGATCTTATAGTTTGGGGAGACGGGCAGGATAGAAATCATACACACACACATGTTCATAGGTGGTGGCAGGAGCAGAGCTAGCAGCACAGAAAGCTTGCAGCAATCCCTGTCTCCAAGCAATGGTACACACTACTTATGCTAGAGGCAAAGGCCAAGAGATTTTTCTTTGGGTTGTATCATTGGCAAATCCCAAGGCTTCAAAAAGTGTTGGGGGAAAAAGCAGGACAGTATTGTTTCACATGCCTAGGCTAATAATATAATTCTTCAAGCAGGCTGGGCCCAGCAATATACCTTTTCTCTGCTGAATCCATATTGTGCCCCACTCAGCCATTCATGAACTTCAAGATTTGATAAATACTCATGTGTGTACAGATTTTATAGGCTGTCTTTATTTATACACCTACATAATGAATTTCCTCCCTCTCAGATTCTTACAACGAGCAAGACAACAGCAAAAGGTCACTGGCAAGGAATGATATAAAGCAGTTGCTTCTGTTTTGTAGTATCACTAAAAGAGAAATGCTTAGTTGAAATAAAGATGTCAAGATTCTACATAAAACATATATAACATCTTTTATTTCACATAAAAATAATCTACAAGAGTTCTCAGACTACTAGTCATTGAATGGTCAAGGCAAGGAGACAATTATTGCCCTCCTGTGCATGTTTGACAATCATTACTTTGGTCATTTGTGTTACACTTTTTTTTTTTGCTTTCATTTTGATTAATGCTATTACAAAATGAGCATTAGCAGAATGATTTTTTTTCACACCCCAGAGCCATTTCTGTCCTTGGATATGGGGTAGAATGTATTAATGAATTAAAATAATTTTTGAAAAAAGAGGAAGTTACCTCTGTTGCAAAGAAGGCTTCTACTGGTTCTAAAATGGCCCAGGGGCTCACAAAACAGGGTAAAATACCCCCAGACCTCTAGACAGCATTGGGGGCATTTTGAGGCAACATTTATTTTTCCCCCAAGGGTGTGTGGCTAGGAGTCAAAGTGATGTAGTGGTTTGAGGCTTGGACTCTGACTCCGAATGCCAGGGTTCAATTCCATGCCCAGTCATGGAAACCCTCTGGATGACCTTGGGCAAGTCACACACACTTTCAGCCTCCAAAAATTCTGTGATAGGTTTACCTTAGACTTGAAGGCACACAAGAAGAAGTGTAGCCAGGGTGTCTGGCCCTCCAAGGTCTCCTCTGTCCCCTACCCCCTGACTATTGCCCACTTTTAAGGTATGGGATTTATTGTTTTCTTAGGTGTAAGCTCTAGTTAACACAGAGTGGCTTACATGCAAGAAAATGTGCCTGGGAAGTCACTGCAAATCACTCAAGGAAATATTCTTGCTTATATTTTCAATAGTTCACCTACATACTTTATTAACAAGACCTTTAGGTTTCATGAATGCAGTTTATGTGTACCCCTATAAGATTCTAATGCTTAGAATGCCTTTTAAAAATTCTATTTACATGTTCTTTTGTGTGTGGCTCTGTACTGGAGAAAGCAGGCATGTGTGGGTGTGCCTAATCTAATCAGTGTAATTAAAGCAAAACAGGCTAAACACTGGGGGAATTCTAAAATGGAGCAACCTGACATTCACATAAATCAGTGTATCTCTGATGTCTTCAAGTATCTCAAGGTATTTTTCCACCCACACTAACTGCTTCGGAACACAGCTTCCAGAAATAATATACTGAATGATTTCTCAAAAGAGAACATTTCTTCTGCTATGTAATGTCTTTATTCCGGGGAATAGTTTCATTATTTTTTATGAAATCATCCATTTTATGGATATATTTTGAAGAGTTTTACATTTTTTAGACAAGCTGACTTGGAAAAAAATGAACTAGGAAACACAGTATAGGAGAGAAATAAGAGATGTATTTTAGCTTTCAGATTTGCTTTTTTAATTAAGGTAGATGTTTAGGAAAATATTGAAAACCTGGCTGCCTGACATAACTCATAGCTGCTAATCATGCTAAAACTAAAAGCCTCTATTAGAGCAATAAATCAATGTGCTATTGTTTCTTTAATGATCAGATTAATGATAAGCATGGCGAATGAGGATCAGATAATAGCTGCAATCCAACATCCCCTCAGCATAGCATAGTATAAATAACTACATGTTGTACCAGCACTTTGCAACTCCATACACAGTATGAGAGGGTGCTGAAAATTTTTTGTTCTGACCCACTCCCCAATATCTGAGCATAATTTTGTCAATTTGCAAGATTGTAGCTCTACTTTGTGAATTTTAACAGAACCATGGACTTTCTGGGCCCAAATGGTGTCGAGGGGCTGCTAAAACATGGTGAAATTGTTCCCACACATTCTAGAGGGCATTTGATGGCATTTAAGGGGAGAATGGACTTTGGAGGCCCCATTCAGTCAATGGGCTTAATTTTGTCTACCCCCTATAACTCAACAGATAGTATCTTCCCCCTTTTGGATGAAGTCACATTCATTTACAGCACTGGAAGTTGGCTGAAATGAATAATGATTCTGGTGGCAGTGATGAATAGAGAAGGTTTATCATGGCCCTGTCCACACACGTTTGCTCTCTAAATCCATTTTTGTCATACATGATTCTCATACACCTACATTTAAATATATAGGAACCTCACAACTGCATCCAGCCATGTGTATCATCCAGCATAACAACCAGCAGTGATGGAGTAGTAACTGTATCCTTTTTCAGCCCTCCCCACCCCAAATTTGCTCCAAAGGGCCCATATCATGAAACAGGTCACAAAATTGATAATCTGAAACACACAAACACATACACACTGGCTCCTGCTACTCAGAATTGCAATTTTGATATGTTTTGTAGCTATGAATTAAGACTAGCATCAGCATTGCTTTCCACATTTTCCTAACCAGCATTCATCACTGAAAAATGGTTGTGTGAAAAGCCATATCAAAGGCCCCATTGCTCAATATGCTCCAAGAGTGGTGATCTTTGTCAAATCAGATAAGTAAAGCTTCTTTTAAAATACAGCTGCATTTGCAATTCATGAAGACAGCAGGTTTGTGTTGGGTTGAATGGTGGCTTGCAAATGTCTTCTTCCTGAGACAAAATGGTACGATAAGGCAGTCATCCCATAAACATCACCTGTCCTGATAACTCTTGTGAGGAGAACTTCTCTTTAGAATTCCAGATAAAGGAGGACTCTTACACACATGAAGAGAATGACTGAAGATGAGGTTTCTAAGCTGAGATGACATCTCTCAGAAAGCAATTTATTTTGAAGACTTTTCAGACATTTTCCTTTTTCTCACCTATTTTTCTCACTATATTTTTTTTCTGAATATTTTCCACCATTTTCCCAAATACCATATTTTCTGGCATATAAGATGACTGGACATATAAGACGACCTCCAACTTTTCAGGTTAAAATATAGTTTGGGATATGCTCACCATATAAGACTATCCCTCTTCTAATGAACAATGTATGTACAATTTGCAGCCAAGTAAGTAACCCTGGGCATGTGACACATGCTCAGCCTCAGAGGATGGTAATGGAAGCCCCCATTTGAAGAAAAATGCCAAGAAAACCCCATGATAATGTTGCCTTAGGGTCACCATAAG